GGGGGGGGGGGTAAAGTCATAGTTGTATTGGTGGAGCTGTGATTAGAACCCAAATTCCCAGGGCAGGATTCCTTCTCTATCATCATCAGGATATTTGTGTTAAAAACAACCACTTACTGAATGGTTCCCATGTTGCACGTGCCCTGCTAGGCACTTAATATCCCTTATTTTGATTCATTCCTCATAACAATCCGATGAGGTATAGCACTATTACTATCTCGATTTTGCAGAAGAGAAAAGAGAGGCTCAGAGAGAGGTTATCTTGCCCGAGACATGCGAAAGCCAGTGCCACACACTCCACAGAATCCCCAGTTGTCTAACAGATTACTCTGATGCTGTAGCTCAAGACTTCGTGAGAGATATGAGTGTTGTCTTTTTCTTCGATGTTTTATCGTCCACCTCCATTCTGGAATACTTTCAGGCTTTCTTTTCCACTGTCAGGTTTTATTGGAATAAGGGTTTTAAAGTTCTCTAGGTCACTATCTAGCTCAGGAAAGTCTCTTCAGTGTTGGAATAACCCCAAGGCTTCTGGGGTTTGCAAGACAATTTTATGGTCATCGGGTCCAACACCCATAGGGTGGAAGGCAGCAGGAGGCTTAATTTCAACCTCTGTAAAAATTTCCCTGATAAATGGCACCAGAGAAGCAGGGATGGTGGGGCGGGCTTAAGCCAGGCTAAATGCACTAGCAACGGGGCGGTTTCCTGGGCCTCCTCCTCAGGCCCGGGGACCACTGTCTGCAAGGCACTCATCTTGATCTGGTGCCTTGGTGTCTAGAAAGTGAACCACTTCTGAAAAACTGAAATTATGCTGAGAGAGGACTTTATTCCCCCAGAGAATTACATCCAATAATAATAATGGTCCTCAGTATTCATAATATTGCTTCTCATCTAAGAAGCACTTGAGAACATTAATTAGAAACTCCATGGAATTCCTAAAGCCTGGATGGTGGGACACGTGTCTGCAGCCCGGACGAACGTGCGTTCACAGACTTAACAGGGAGCTTCTGGCAGCCTAAGGGCAGAATTCCTCCTTCTCCAGCCCCAAACTGTGAGGACTTTTATTATGCATTAAGGCAAAAGGGAATACGCTCATATTAACGTAACAAAACATCACAAAGCGCCGAGAAAACCCCCTTATGTGATGCAAAGTACCAGAAAGGTAAATGGCTTTATCAACCATGAACTCCTCGGCAAAGCGAATGTGACAAAAATTCTTCTTGCTTTTCCGAATCGCTGTGATGTCACCGCACTGCTCAAAGACTTCTTGGATGATTTCCTCAGTGGCGTTTTCTGGTAATCCCCCGACAAACACGGTCTTACACCCGGGAGGTCGTTCTCTTGTGGAGGGAGGTGGAAGATCTGAGAATCACAACAAAACAGAGGGTTTTGCCTTTTAGTTATAGTTGCTGTTTTTTTGTTTTTTTTTTTTCTGGTTCACCTGGTGAAAGTCAAACTCGCAGACTAACTTTCTCCATTCTGAGTAATGATGGATTTCTAGAGTGAGCTACACAGATGGCAGGCTGTCCTGGTTTTCAGTGCCTGTCCCCTCCTCCTCCCCACCTTTCTCTACTTTCTGTGTTCATTTCTACACAGAGTGGCTATGCTCGTCTGCGAACAGAGATAAAGGAAATGTTACCATAATTTCATTTCTCCTTCATAATACAGAGGCCCGGAAAATCGGGAAAAAAAAGAAAAAAACAACTTCATGAAGTACAGAGCATGATGAAATGAAAACACGACGAAAAACCGAGGGTTGGGCTTCCCTGGTGGCGCAGTGGTTGAGAGTCCGCCTGCCGATGCAGGGGACACGGG